TTATGTGGAGGATGCGCACTTGTATAAACAGGGGTTACCACCTGTCTCACTTAGAAAAATTCAAGGACAAGAACTACTACCAATCTACCTTCATACCAAACTCCTCCTTGCTTAACGTACCCATAGTATACTCTCTCTACTACGTCGTATTTTCGTACACAGTTATTAAGATAGTGCCGTACCGTACACATTCAAAACAGTTGTCCCCGATGAAATCCACACAATTTGGCCGTCCGGGATAGTGGGATGTGACTGTAGTCAAATTCTGTGGGCTTCGGTGGTAGCGCGAGAGATCGCTAGGGGCGCTGGTCCGGAAGCGGTGGAATAAGTGGAGGAAGAAGAAGCATGGTGGGGAATGCTGGGTTGAGGCGCCATTGCTGTAGTTTCTAAAATAGGCACAGGGATAGGTCCCATTGGTACGTACAGTGCAGTCGCACCCCGTTATCCCAGATGGCCAGATTTCACAGATCTTGTTGAGACAACGGGGTACCGGAACAACTGACGGGGGGGAAAAAACTTGAGAGTGAGCACTATCTGAAGAAAAACATCTATCTCCTCATGGAACGCCTTTTCATCGGACACAGGGCTGGAAGCTAGTTGTGCCAGCACTATTCCACCTGCTGAGGAGTTAGTACTTGTGTAAGGGTTCTCGGAGTATGGTTTGGGGGGGGACGAGGTGACCCCAAGGTGTATTTCCCGAGTCATTTCTTCTAACTCGCGGCCACCCGACCCCTCGACTCCCGCGTCCGCGACGTCAAATTAGTGTTCTAGGTGCGCTGCCGCAGGTGCGGGTTTCGGAGGATACTTGGAGCACCCGGTGGAGGATGTGTAGTAGTTTACAAAGCCTACGTGGACTGCTTTACGGTTCAGGGCTTGATTACCAGTTTCGAGTTTTCGGATGGCGTTGTAGCTGTTTTTCAGCCCCGTGGGATCGGCAGGGCAGCGACTACCGTAGAAACTCGAATAATCGAACCGTGTGCTTTGAAGTTGAGAATTCCCTACCTCGGAAAAGGGGCTAAAAACAGCGCAAAAAGCGGGCTCCTCAGGCTTTCTGAGAGACATAAAAAAACAAAAAATATACGAGACCATACCCGAGGAGGAAACTCCAACGGCATAGCAGATGGTTCGATTATTCGAGTTTCTACGGGTATTGCAATCGGTTGAGGGCCTGTTTGGATACGACCATTCCGTGCCATTCCCCCATAAAAAGGACAATTGCCTTCCGTTCTGAAGATGCCAAGAAAACCATTTCCCCAGGTAAAATCATCGCTGAACGGAACGATCGACCTGCCTCCCGTTCCCGCCAAACAGGCCCTGAATGATTCCGATATAGAGGGCGGTTAGACTAGAAAACAAACCCTAACTGAAGCTATGACATTAAGTACTACCGCATCGCAGAGGTAATATGAGAATGGTCTTTATCGATAAACTTCGGCCCCGAATCCCAAGTTCCCCCTATACCCTTTTCAGCATTCACGCCCCCGATAAGAATATTGTGATTAAAACATATAATACCCTGCTTACTTTGCACAACCGCGAAATTCCGCTGTGGTGTCTTCTGAAAAAACCCACCCACGCTGCCGCTAGAATGTACTGTACCGTTAATAATAGAGCCACCGTCGAATTTACCGCTCCGTACACCCCCTCACCCTCGTGCGACCCACACTCCTTGCAAGGATCCTTCCCCTGCGACCGAAACAGACTCCCCAACCTAGTGGATATAATCCCCAGATGCATCGCCAAAAACGGTGAACTGAGCTTGATAGCCCCCAATATCCTATGCCTGAATCTCCGCACTCACCATTCAAAAACGCCACCTCCGCCGCCAGAATCCGGCCATGGAATGATATCACATCCATTACGTAGTCTTAAAATTCGGACACACTTCTGTGTGGGCGCCCCAGCCCAAATCTTCCAAAACGACGGACAAAACAAGTTGTGAAGGTGGGTAGGAAAGATCCACAAGCTCGTTCCATCGCCCATGTAGCCATGAATGTAGACTCCGAGGAGCTTCCGCTTGCCCCTAGGAAGAGAGCCTGGAACAGATTTGGAGGTCACGGAGGCATGCATTGTCGGATTGTGAGTCCCCCTGCGAGCAGGAGTAAGCGAGAAAATCTGGGGCTGCTGGTAATAGAGAGTAACTTGCCGTTGGGAATCTCGGAACAAATAGTTCCCGTGGAGGCAGTGGAGGAGGTATCATACACCTGGCCCTCGCAACTCTGCGATGTACCGTATTATGCTTGCCGTCCATGCTTGTTTCGTGTTCGTCCGTTGCTTTGTCTTGTCTCCTACCGGTACTCTACTTTGGCAAGTCAAGCGATGCCGAGCCGTGGGGCTGCAAGGCAATTGTGGGTGGTGGGCTGCGTCTTGGAATTACAAGGATGGTACCGGTATACGGTACTCGAGTATGGGAGGCTAGCGCTTATCGCATCTTTACAGGTGCAGCCAATATATCCAATCGTCACGTGGAGCCTGATAAGATGAACGGTCCTGGGCTTTGATCTTGCTTATCATAGTCACGTGATGGACCTATCTATTAGCCCCACTTGTACTGTTGACAGGGTTTGGGGGAGGTCGACTCGTCTCTACCGATTAAGATGCCGTCATGGAATACGATACTGGTGCGGCGATAACCTAGGAACTTTTGTGCGGCACTCTGCTTGTGCCGCGAATAACTTACATCGAAGGGTACAAGTATGATAAAGTAGCAGCCTAAGCACGCAAGGGGAGTCCAACAACCCAGCCACGAGCGGGGAACGGCCATATAATAACCCCAGTACAGCAAATCCACAATCTCTAGTATGGTGGCCCACATAGACACTAAAGTTCTCGCTTAGCAGGTTGACAGGATTGCGGATACGGTACACGAGTACCAGTCAGCGAGATCCAACACACGTGGGCGTATCATACAGTATACCGGTACGGTACTATCAGGAAAAAGCTAATTCTTCTTAGGACATGATAGAGATAGCATATTTCACCAAGATTTTCCCTGTACCCTAGCGCCTAACGGTCGTAGGACAGGAGACGGAGCTTTCTATAGCTTACTCTAGCGCAAGCAAGAAATTGCAGTGGATAAATAAGAAGGGAACTACCGTACCGTAATGGTGACAGGAGAGGAATGAGATGACGCAACCTTACCGGTAATTCGATAACCGCGCCGAGGTTCCCGCTACTCCGTAGGACACTGAGGTACAGTTGTGGCTGAGGGGGGACTAGATATTCGGTGTTCATGAACGGAAAAAAGGCGACCTCCATAAAATGCATCTCAGCCACAATAAATTTAACTAATAGCCACTTGAACCACATTGAACAACAACCTCACGAAATGATAAGGATGCCAATATCGCAAAAGAATACCGGTGCCGTACGAGTAGATCAGAGTTGAGACGGAACGGAGTGAATTGTCGAATGGCAGGGAGAGCCGACAAGGCTGAGATGAACACGTAAAGGATCAGGGGAAAATAAATGTTCGTAGTTAAGGTCAGTTGCAGTAAGAATTACAGCACGAACTTAATCCCTGATAACTTATGTATTTAATAACCTGAGTCACAGTGAGGGTGAGGCGGCTTCCTGCCTGAATCCTGGACGACAGATAGGTGACGCAAGGGCAGAGCCGGAGGTCCAACGGTCGGGGGAAGTGGGATTGTCGGGCGATAGTTTAAATTTTTCCCTTACCGTGGTTTTCCCAACGGGTGTTCACAGTTGGCATGTAGGATTAGTTGAGGTTAGAACGCAATACCGGTAATAAATAGTGATACACACTTCATGATACCTTAGTTTATGCTTCGGGTTCTGGTGTTCTATGTTGAATTATGGCTTTGCCAGGGTTTGCCGGGGTTGCTTAAGACCCCGCCATACCAGTACAGTACAAGCAGACTGCAGTAGACGTGCATCCTAGCACGGGTCAAATAGCGGTATCGGGGATGAAGTGCACAAAGTGGCTTGAGCGATACATTCGTTTTAGTGGAATATACAGTGCCTCTTTTAGTTGAAACGCGAGTCTCTCTCAATAATCCCTGAGTTATCGCTATTCCTATGGGCACTAAATTTTCCGATACGAGTACGTACTTGTTGGGGGTAACTACTCCAATAGCCTGACCAAAACCGCTACCGGTGCCGGTATCTTTGCCAGCCCCCCGAGAAGGATTAGAGTTTTCCTGATATGTTAACAGGTCGGCCGGCTAGCTGTGCTGGGTCTCGCTAACCTGTATTCGCAATTCGGTTAACCGGCCAAACTATACCCAAAGCAGGATGGCAGGAGGCTGGAGTCACGAGATTTGACGGTATTGTGCGTTGACAAGGTTAACCGAACACTAATAATTTTACCATGATGACAACCCCATTAATGAATTCAACCACCTCAACATCATCTATAAAAACTAGTTAAAAAGTAAACAAAAATACATAGCGGTAATCAGCACTTAGTATATCATCCATCAGCCTTCATAATTGCCTTTGTCCTATCTGGAGAGAAGTAGTTGTACGAGGGTGTCCCACTCGCTGGGGTGTTTGGTTAATTTTGTCAACGCAGAGTATCTGCGGCTGTGGCCATCCGAGCTGCTTAGATGAACTTTAATAGCTTTATCATTTTCGCCACCAAAAAGGTATGCTGCCCCCCAAATATGGTGCTTTGGCTGCTTTTTGGCGAGCTATGATCAAGGTCCCGTCTCGTGGGAGTGTCCACAGGCCGCAAGGAGGACGGAAAATAATACCCCAAATGAATTGTCCATTACCGCTCTATCTCGGAGGTTGGTACTCAAGCGATAGTGCTACCGCCTCTTGCTAAAAAACCTATCGTTACTGATACTAAAATTTCCCATTTATAACATAGACACGCTTGAATTTTGCGCCGTGTAGAACGAAAGGACAGTACCTCTCTAACTGAAAGACACTCCCCAGACCAGAGAATATCACCCCCGGGTGTATCCCCGGAAGTGGTGAGTCAAGGGCTGGCGACTGTAAATCTGATGCCTGACCCCTACTCCCCTAAGCTCCACCCTCGGTATCTCCACCTCCACCGCCAGGATCCGCCGCAGGGGATGTCCGAGAGATATCATATCTGCGCCCAGATTCCCGGATCGCACGAGCCTTGTGGAAAACCCTCCCCTTGCAGCAGGAGTATTCTGCCTCGCCCCGAATTTTGGATTTACCTTTGGGTGAGTGACCCAGTCAAGGTCTTCCTAAGCGATCATATGACCGACAACAAGTTGTAGAGGTGGGCGGGGAAGCTCTGGAAGGTGATATCGCTACCAGTAAGGCCGTAAATATAGACTGAAAGGAGCTTCTGCTTTTCTCTAGGAAGAGTGCCCGGAGCAGATTTGGAACTTGTCGGGACGTGCATTACTGGGTTGCACTCCTGTGGGTACGAGTAAGCACACGAATCCTCCGTCGATGATAATAGAGAATATATTTGTGGTGGAGATCGCAGGACAGTTGGCTCCCATGGCAGCGACTGAGGGGGCACCCCTAGCTAGTGGAACTTTATGCTGGTATTATTCTCACGGTCCATACCTGTTTCTCTTTCGTCCGTTGGTGTGTTTCTTCTCCTAAGTTTCTTCAATCAAGTCAAGTTATACCGAGTAATCACACTACAAGACCCGGCAGATTGTAGATTATGCTTGTGGCACTCATTTGGCATGGAATTACCGGAAGGTTTGAGGCTGAAACTTGCCCTGGAGGGTTTACTCCAGGTTTCCTTTTGCAGTTGTGGGTTTATCGGTAGCAGAGGCTGTCGTGGTGGCGGAGGCACATGGGGGGATGGCGAACAGCGAAACAAATGGCGAAACGGATAGGGATGCGAACGGCAGTACGACGCAACGAAACGAAACAAATGGGTCACAAGCCGTGCTGTGAAACGAAACGCCGAGATCTCACACGTGACAGGATCGCACTACTCACAGGGGTGTGTGGAAAACTCTTCATATTGTCAACTTCTCTGTATCACGCGTTCTCAACTCACTAACTCATGTGAAGACAGGGGTATATATCAGCCACAAAAACGACAAAGTCCTAACCCCCCAGGTACGTCTCCCATATACTAGAAAACAAGAAAAGCTAACAAAGGAAAGACAGACTCTCGCTATCGATAGCTTCCGGGCATGCAATACTCCAAGCATTAAACTCTCAGACTTTCTACCGCCCTTTGCGCTTTTCCTCGCAGCCTTCCCGCTGTCTTTCCAGTGGATGCATTTCTCCAAGACTCCCGCGCTTTCCCACGGCCAAAGTACTTTCCCGAAAAGCCAATCTCCGGGGGCGGAAGCCATAGCGCTCCCGAAACCAATGCGCGCTCCCAGAAACTATGCGAACTAACAAACAAACTATCGTGAGAGCATGGCAGGCAGCACCTTGCCGGCCATGCAACACTGTGTGGGCGCTCTTGCGCAGCAGACGGCTGGGAGGGTCGGGCACCAGACGCCCCCCCCTCTCTATTCTCATTGTCCTAACTTACGAAGCTGACCTCTCTGGTACCTCACACAGGAGTTCCACCGTATAGTCTGATCAAGGATGCAAAACGGCGCTGATGAAGACAAGTCAGTGACGGTTTGGAAAGGACTCTAGAGATCGGAAGTGCATGTTGGAAAGATTTTTCATGGCGTTTAACTTCTCAACTACATTAGTGGTAAAAGGCGCTAATCCTGGTATTTTACTGTAATCCACATTGCGGTAGTGGGAAATTAGCAGGATAGAAAAAGCCGCAGTTGCTGCTTTTTAATAAAATCTGGTGGAATGTAAGCCCAACCACTGATTCCCATGAGCGATACCGGCTCTTAGTATCTCTTTTGCTACTAGTACGGGGGCGGTAAAGACCCAACAAGTGAATTGTGATTAATGCCCCCCTAGCAATGACCCACACTGCACCGGGAGGCCCGGGGTTACCCACCAAAATCAAATAGTACTTGTAGATTACCTCCAAATTATATCTCATAAGTTAGTCCTCAAATAATAGCGTTCTTGAACCTCGACTCTGCCATCCTGTTACCCCCTCCCCCCCGCCTAGCGTATTACCGTGAAACAATTCTACTCAGGACTGCAACTGCTCATCTACTGCGGTATTTAGTAGGAAAAAGTACTATGCTCCAAAGATAAGAACATAGGTAACAACAGTAACCTTTAAGACCATAGAGAGGGGGGGAAAACCCGCAGCCCCAGTTTTTCGCGGTGTAGTCCAGTGGCACTCCATACAGCCCACTATCCACGAACAAATATCTATCATCGTCTGCCAAACCCTTCGGCACCAACTGCGAGGGGGAAAACCTGCCTGATGCCAGACACAATTCGCTCCTACAGTCACTCAGAAGTGGTGTTGGGAGGAATGTCACATATTAGTCAGGCTCCCTATGCACGTGATTGGATGTTCACTGTTGCACAAGGCAGATCTCCCCTCTTTCCCTCTTGCTTCCGCTACCCCGACTCCCAAATCATTGCGGATCTGCGCACTGAAATCTCATAAAATCCTGCGATAACCCTATACGGTAGTCTGCTATACCATTTCTATATTCGAGCTACATTTTAGGCAGAATATCATGGCCCAGATCACCCAGAATAACTTTGGTGACGGCAATGCCTACTGCGGCAATATAACATCAAACTACACCAACATTTACAACTCCGACGAGGATGCACAGATTATGCGCTGGCTCTCACCACTAGAGCCAGAGAGAAGACATCGGGATGTGTGCACTGATCGATTCGAGGGTGTTGGGGAGTGGCTTCTGGAAACAAGCGAGTTTCGGAAGTGGAGAAGTAGTGAGGGTGGAGTAGATGAGGCTGTCCTGTTTTGCAGCGGGAATCCCGGAGTCGGAAAAACCTATCTGAGGTAAGTATCCGGGTTCTCTAAAAGCGGGGCGGGTATGACTGACGGCAAGAAATACTAGCTCCCTGGTAATCGACCGGCTTTGCGAGCAACGAGACATCATAGTTGTAGGCTTGTACTGCGACTACCTTTCCCAACAAGAACAGACTGTCGTCAATATGATAGGAGCTATTATGAAGCAGCTGGTAAGGAGAGTTGGAATTCCACATTATGTGCGCGATGCATTTCATGAAGCAAAAACGAAGTTTGACGGCAGCGGGCCGCGACTCCACGATCTGATAAGGATGTTGAAGATCGCGATTTCTTCCGTACCACAAGTTTCCGTCTGCCTTGATGCACTAGATGAATGCTTGCCGAAGCACCTTCCACAGCTTCTGGAGAGCCTAAGAGATATTGTTCGGGAGTGCCCAAGGACGAGAATATTCTTCACCGGGAGGCCCCATGTCAAGGGGGATATCCAAAGGCATTTTTCCAGGGCGGTCGTTTTGCCTATTAGCCCAAACGAGGAAGATATCACGAGTTACGTAGAGATGAGGTTAGATAGGGATTCGGAGCCAGAGGCGATGAACGAGAACTTACGGGCCGATATTATTAGAACTATCTTGGAAAAGATATCTGATATGTGCGTAGTATCACTTTATAATTTCTCCCCTATGAACAATGTGTGCTTACAAGCGACTATGTACAGTTTCCTGCTTGTCTCTCTAAACATGGACGCCATTCTAGGCCAGATGACAATTCGGCAGAGAAGGAGGAAGTTGGAAGAAATGGCAAAGGGCAATGGACTGAGCGATGCCTACACTGCAACACTCACTCGACTGAAGGCGCAGAAGGGGGAAAAATGCTTACTCGGAATGAAGGTTCTGATGTGGGTGATGTATTCGGAACGGCCATTACAGGCCGAAGAACTCCGTCACGCATTGGGAGTGGAGCCAGGATCGGAAGACCAAGATGCAGAAAATGTTCCTGCGTTACGGACACTTGTAGCATCTTCTCTGGGCCTAGTCACAGTCGAGGCATCTTCATCCACTGTCCGACTTGTGCACTTCACGCTGCAAGAGCACCTCTTGAGCGATCCTACACTATTCCCTAGTCCGCACTCAACAATCGCGGAGGTTTGCTTGACATACCTCAACTTCGGGAGTGTCCGCAATCTATCGCCAACTCTTAAATCAGCCCCGACAACAATGCCCCTTCTAGAATATGCCTCTTGTTACTGGGGGAGGCACTTAGTACGGGGATTGACGGACAATGCGAAAATACTTGCACTTAGGCTTCTTGATAGATTTGATGAGCATATATCTGCTCAGCTATTACTTTTAGGCACTAATGGAGATAGACACTATTTCCCATATTTTGATGGGGAGGGAGGACCTGTGGGATTTACCGGACTACACGGAGCAGCATTTATAGGGATTGTGGACATAATTACTTCGGTATTGGAGATGAAGGAGTGGGATGTTAATGCAACTGACGGCATGGGTATCGCGGCTCTTATATGGGCGGCTTTGAACGGGCATGAGAAGGTAGTAAAAATCCTTTTGCAACAGGAGGGAGTCGATCCCAACCAGGCAGACACCTTATATGGCCAAACGCCACTCTGTGGGCGGCTTGAACGGGCATGAGGGGTGTAAGATCCTTTGCAACTGGA